GCATGCATGATGATGCCCGTTTCATCATGAAAAATGCCAATTTGTTATTCTCTCAATTCTTCACCGGCTGTTTGTCTCGAATTAGCCGCATGATTGCACGCTGACTACATAGTGGTGTGCATTGGCCCTCTTAGCTACTATGTTGTTAGTCAATGTATGAGGGAGTTCAAGTAATTGAGCCGAAGAATTCTTGAGTCATGCTAACTTTCTGCTCTGAGATGCAACTAATAATAGTTGAAAGGAAAGATATCAGGCAAATGAAACTATCCAATCTTTGGACGGCACCCTATTCCACGAGAAAGCCGAAAAAACAGATTATTCTTCTTTTACTATTATTTATTCATTTTTTTCTTTTTGTTGCAGCGATCGCTTTACATATCGGCTTACACACCTCCATTAAAAAATAGACGCTGCCTGAATGAAAGTTTGATGTAAATGCTGTATCGTCTTTTGAGAATGTAAGTTGAATAGTATTTTACATTTATTTCTTTTTTGTTGGACAATCTCGAATGAAATTATGTTGATAGTTTTACTGAAAATATATCTTTATGGGTAGAGCAAGAGTTATGGAAGATTCGATATTAACGAACCTTTTCCTCCATATGATACAGAAATTATACACATCAAAAATAATATACATTGATGAAGCTTTGCACAGATTCGGTTTTTAACTTACCAATGTAAAAACCATTGATCATTCAAGCCTCTAAGTCTATAATTATTTGTTTTTGTCTGTGATAGCACACAGTTTTGTGGACCGGTAGTTCTCCGAGAAGTGGATCTAATTATCAACTCTTTTTATTAACTCTTTCAGTTCTCAAAAGACAACTAATTCATAAGACTGGAAGCTATCGCATGTCAAAAACTGATATGTTTGAACAATTCAGCTGGTTTGAAAAGAATTGAACGATCAAAATTAGTTCAGTTTCTTGATTTGGATCTATTACAGGTCAAGATGCACTCAATCAATTCATTTATTTGCTTCAATAAATATATTATTAATTATAATACAACCTCGTCCTTTTGAACTAGTTTCTATATCGATTTGTGCTGCGTAATCTCCAGCAAGCACCGATGGTATAGAATTAATTTTCATTGTAATGTTCATTGTATGTATTCCCTATAAAAAAAAAGAAAGTAATTATTAATTTCGTAATATTATATGCATACTTACTTCTTTCTTTGGACAATTACATTGTTTACAAGAAGTGCAAACATCATCAAATTCACATGAACGAAAGACGCAAGGAATTGGAACATAAAATATAAAAACTTTTCTTTTTATCAAGGCTGTTGCCTAAATGTGCATTTACAAATTTGAAGTTTAATCATTTCTTATTAAATAAAGTCTTTTTAAGATACAAACTTTTACCGGATCTGTTAACTTTTGATTAGTATAGATAGTAGCTATTACAGAAATTGACCCAGGAGCCACAACTGGATCCGGACTTACTATAAGATCTAGCAGTTTGATATCATTTGATTCACTTTCACAACTTTCCCATGATACTTTAGTAAATACGATTGTCTAAACATGAATTTTTTTTGTTTAATTAAAATTTTTACTTTTGTTGTACTTTACCAATTGCAGGCATAGAAAGGTTATAAATAAACTCAAATTAATAAAAGCCATGGAGCATACAACTTTATATAGAGCAAATGTATGAATCGTATATATTTTTCTTCCATTTATATTCTCACCTATTTGGATATTTGAATATGAAAATCGTTCGTATGAGAGGTGTATTGTTATATCCCTTTTTTTCCGTTAATCATAAAATATTACTATAGCGTTTGGCGGCACGAAACAAACATTATAACATTAATGAGATGATTCACTGGTTCTTTCCCCATACAAGAGAAGAAAACGAGTTACTATAATAGCAAATTTAGTCAACGGTAAATTTTTTCTCTTCGTAGGAAATCGGAATGCAATAAACATAAATTTCATTTTTGCATTTTCTAGCGTAATAAAATAAGTCGGAAGTTTGCAAGAAAAGTGAGAAAAGGGTACAAAACACGACTCTCGAGTTTTCAAAAAAAAGAACAGTGAATAATAAAAAAAAGGAATAATTGTTTTTACTGGGTATCGAGACTCAATTTTCTCCTAAAGAGGTTTACATTTATACAGCAGGCAACTATTTTTCATTGTCATTGTAAGTTGAAAAAGTTACGTTTCAGGTGTGGGTGTGAAATTAGTAGAGGCGAATAGCCAAACGAATACTGCATGTCCACACCCACACCCTCAGAAACATCAGTTGAACGATTTTGGCCAGCTAGTTTTTTTTATCATTTTGATATGAAGTTGTAGAACTGAAATTCTTCTACGCGTCTGAAAAAAATGAGGAAAAAATCTCAAAAATTGACGCAATTATCATGTATACAAGTGAAAAGATCGATATTTTTGTCTGCAATTGCCCACTCGACTCTACTTGTTTCATAAGAAATTATCTCGTCCAAGTACATGGTATATGAATTAAGATAAATGGTTTTAAAAATGCGTTTCAGACTGACAACTTTGTTTTTATTTACGTTTCTAGAACTTACCCTTTCAATACAGAGAATAGATATGTCGGTAGTGTATAGACATACATATAGTGACTATTGAAGTAGCATTTTGTTCACAAATGAATAAACTGTCTTATTTCTCGAGATAGTACGAGAGATCTTCTCCAAGTGACTCTCGTTTTGTAAAGCCATTACCCATGAATGAGAAACGATTTCTAGTGTTATACTTGATGTCAAAGTCCTCTGGGCGTAGTTCATCAAGCATCTCTTTGTAATGTAGAGCTGAACCAGGATAGGGAGCTGTAACATTGCCGTTAACCTTTCCACTCTTGTACCAACTGCGACAGTGCTCTTTCCAGACAGTTCGTTCCATAAATTCTTGTGCATAAGAGTTAAAGTCATCAACAGCACCTTGCGTAACATCAACAGAATGAATATCTTCTTCTTGAATCTTTTTGGCCCATTTAAGAATGTAATCTGCCTCCCAGTCTATACAAGAAGTGAGACTAGACTGAGCTACCGGAGTATTTGGACCAATGAAAATGAAATAATTAGGAAAGCCATGAGCTGCAATTCCAAAGTAACCGGCAGGATTAGTCTTCCATGTCTGTGCGAGATCTACTCCATCACTCCCAATGAGTTTTAAAGGAGGACAGTAAGAAACGTCAAAACCCGTCGCACAGATGATGGCATCTAACTCGTAATGTTCATTGTTAGCGGTCTGTAGACCAGTTTTAGTAAAACGATCAATACTGCACATTTTCACAGTCACATTTGTCTGAATGATTGCTTCCAAGTATTGGTTATTAGGTGTAATTCGTCGACATCCAACACTCCATTGAGGAATCAGCAGTGTAGCAAGTTCTTCACTCTTCTGAAGATATTGCAACATGAATTCCTTCAAAGATTTCTGAGCCATAAGCTGATGCTCCGAATCTTTGATATATACACCAAAAAATTTGTTCATAGCATGCTCGAGTGTTTTTCGCATTTCTAATAACTTTTTTGGATTAGATCGGAATTCAGCCTTTTGTTCTTCGGTATATTCAATATTCTGTCCGTCAGATTTTGCAAATTCCGCCAAAATAGGAGGACTGATCCAAGTCGGATTTCGAACAAAACAAGTGACATGAGCCGCAAAAGGTTGAATTTTTGGAAGAATTTGAATTGCAGATGCACCGTTACCAATGAGACCAACATTTTTCCCTTGAAAATCGTATCCATCCTTCCATTGAGCAGAGTGCACGAGATGCCCTTGAAAGTCGTTCAATCCATCAACATCAGGCCATTTCCATGTGTTGAAAACTCCGCATGCATTGATAAGTAAATCCCCTATATCGCGAATAATTTTACCATTCTGTTCGATCTTGATGTGCCATTTACCATCCGCTTCATTCCATTGTGCTTCAACCACTTTAGAGTTGAACTGAATATTTTTTGTTAAATTGTATTTGTCCGCCGTTCGTTTGATATAAGTGAAAATTTCGGGACCACCGACACAGAACGAACTCCAATCGGGATTTGGTTCCCAAATAAAGGAGTATATGTGAGCTGGAATATCGCATCCAACACCTGGATATCGATTCTGATACCACGTGCCACCGATATCGGGATTTTTCTCATAAATGACATGCTCTATTCTATCATCAAGTTTGCATTGATTTTGAACCTTATATGCCAGTGTCAAACCAGAGAAGCCTGCCCCGATTGTAATAATTTTCAATCGTCGAGGTTGACAAAGATACTGTTCACGAATTGGCACCCAATTACATGGTCGAGTAGGCGGTACCGAATCCGATAAATCATCGTCGAGTCCTGCAATTTAATCAGTAATATTATGCCATGTTTTGACAATAAAAGATGCACTTAAGAGAAATGTTTTGCTGACAATGCGAATAGCATTTTACAGACTCACAATGTTCAAATGCAGAGTGCGTGATACAATAAAGAGACTTCATAGAAGCGTTTCACTGTTTTCACAAAAGAAATCTTCCTAAAAGGACTGCTCATACTTGTCTTGATAGCTGTTTCAGACAATAGAAGTAGCTGAGAATGATTTATTACTAACTTTTTGAGGACGCTTTTCATCATCTCCTTCAAGATCCTAAAGTTAAGGCTTCGAAAAATGTCACATTTGTGTCAAATAGTATTAAAGACAGGAAAACGTATCAATTCTTTGCTTTGAAGACTCCTTAGAAAATAAATCTACATCTGATACAATTTTCCTACAGTCATGCATGGGAAAAAATTCATTGAAAGACAGAACAAAGAACGAAAACTGCCGAAAAATCACATGCTCAACACAAGATCTGTACCATCTCTTCGGACAAATTATGCGAGTAGTTAAGAATGTCGGCTTCCATCAAAACTTACAGACTGTAACACACAAAATACATTAATATTAGAGAAAAAAAACTTACTTGTCTGAGTATTGTTTGACTTCAGAACTTCATTTTCTGCCATGACAACCTAATACTCGTTGAATGGAATCCCAAAGGATGTGAGGGTAAAGAAGAAAATGAGCCGGAACGGCAGTAGTTGAATAGATCCAAAAGAAGAAAAGGAATAAACATAATAGACAAAGCAGATTTCTTGCAGACGGTATATGAAAAGCCTTATCATCCCCTAATCTTAATCAAAAATTCTAAAAGAAGTAGAATTGTAAGTCCTCAATTTGTCTCATTAACTCTTTACCTTCGCTGATAAATCTGCACTGTGGCTCAAAAATTTTGATCAGTTAACACTAAGTCAATTCCGTGCAATAAAATAGTTCATAAATTTCCCTACTTTTTCAGTATAACATTTCATTTTCAAATTACGCTAAAGTTATGCCGCAACGATCGCATTTTCACAGAATCTATTGGTTTTTCAGACTTGAGAACTGTCGGCTAATGTATCGAACTGTCCCATCGCAGAGGATACGTTTTCAGAGAAGGAAGGAAAAAAGATTTTTGCATAAACCTCGTTCGAATGGATGCAACGCTATTACAGTGACGATGAAAAAAACTGAAAACGAAAAAACCAAGACTGCTCACACCTTATGATAAGAGTTAAGATGCTATGTGGCCCATTTATCTCGCCCAAGAACACGTGTGTGAAGGAGCACAGAAAAATCCAAACAGAATATAAGGCACATGATAATCAATGCGGTATAGCAGAGACTTCAAAAATTGATATAGTTTGTTAGAAAATCGAATTTTATAAATTTATCAAATTCCTAGAAATATCTATGGTAAAAAATATACGAATGACTGCTTTGATCATATTTATTCATGCACTGACATTCAAAATAATTTAGAAACAAGCATACTCGTATTATTCCACTTCTGCATTTGTTGCTGACACTGGTGGTGTGTGGATATGGATGTTGATGTGTTATATCACTCACACCCTTTAAAAACACTTACGTTAGCTCTCTATATTGTGTGAAATTTTGTCTGCTGGCGATCAGTATAATACTAATATACCGACGTTGTTCTATGCTAGAGATAAAAACATAACGCTGCTTATACATACGTCATTAGTATAAGTTTTGCTTGTGCGCCTTCATTCGTGCCTGTGAAATAACTAATGATCAAATATGGTTGAGATACTTTGTTTTTTTATACACGTGCTATCGTCGTTTTGCTTGTTCTATCATTTATTATGACATATTAATAAGATATCCGATTTCTTTCTCATAAAAATATTGTTGTCGTTTTGCTTGTTCTATCACTCATTGTTCGAACAGCTTGAAGAAGGCAAGAAAATTATGCACTATAACACTATTTTACTTGTTTTTTTTTATCATCATCGCACAGTATCAACAACATATTAGCAGTCCACAAGCAATACTATACCGCTGAACAGTATGAGCTTGATTTAACTAAGCTTCAAATGTCCCTTCCACATACTATCGGGGCGAATTGAATTTCCTTCTTTGTTTTTTGTTTTGTTTTCAGTACTATAGTTTTTTTATTTTTTTAATCTACTGTATATAGAGAGAAAGCCCAGAACACGCTGCATCTTTTATTATATTTACATTGAACATTAAATACAGTTTAAAAAATAAAAAATGTATGAGAAAAAAAAGTGACATTTTTTTTACTACAATATACATACACATCTATTGTCTGTTTAAAAAAATAATAGTCGTGGCCATTTCTGCAATAACTCATGGAAAGAAAGAACTAGAGAGCTGCGGTTTTCTCACCAGTCGAAAGAGACGACACTAGGACATCTTTTTCTCCAATATTGTATACGACGAAATCATTTTAAAATCAAACATTTTTACAAAGCACCAAAAAAAGGCACAAAAATTACCTTTCATTCATATGAAATTCTGACAAAAAGTAAGAAAATTTGCTTAAAAATTAAGAGAAATTCATACTTTTCGAGGGAATGAATAAAGAATTTGATTTCCTTAACGTTATAATGCGTCAAGATGATCTTTCAACTAATATCTTAAACTATAGATCTGTAGTCCGTGTATTCAAATCACATATCAAAACCAAAATTTCATCGAAATGATAGACCGTTTTCATGGATTTTTTCGAATGTCTTGTAAAAATGTTTGATTTTAAAATGATTTCGTCGTATACAATATTGGAGAAAAAGATCTCCTAATGTCGTCTCTTTCGACTGGTGAGAAAACCGCAGCTCTCTAGTTCTTTCTTTCCGTGAGTTATTGCAGAAATGGCCACGACTATTATTTTTTTTAACAGATAATAGATGTGTATGTATATTGTAGTAAAAAAAATCTCACTTGTTTCTCTCATACATTTTTTATTCTTTAAACTGTATTTAATGTTCAATGTAAATATAATAAAAGATGCAGCGTGTTCTGGGCTTTCTGTCTATATATAGTAGGTTAAAAAATAAAAGAACTATAGTACTGACAACAAAAAAAAACAAAGGCGGAAAATTCAATTGGTTCCGATAGTATATGTCAATATATAAATTGCATATATATATATTTTGTACTTTGCTTCAAAAGAAAAAAATGAACACCTTTCTTTTCTTCCAACAACGATTCTAATAAAATTATATTTCTCAAATATGCTGTATGCTGCTGTAAAAACAATCATATTAATCTCATCTATACTTGATCAAAATAATAAATGATCGAACGTGATAGAAACAAAAATTATTTATCTTCATCTTTAATTTGTTATTCATCAAATAATAAAAATAATGGATGATTCGGAAGCACAGAAAGATAAAATATATAATTTTGTTTTTTATTAAAATATTTTTCTCTCGTTAAATAGCTGAAATGAAGGAACTTCGTTAAGAAATATCAGCTGAAGTTCACAAACAATTCAAAAAAGATGACGGCGAAGTTATCATAAACAGAGTGAGACTTTAGTCTATTTAATTTGATTTATTTGTTTTTAGCAATTAGGTGAATGGAAATATTTACTGTAATTTATGGAAATATTCGAACATATCAATGATGGGGATCAACTTGATCTTTCTGATCACTTTGTATCTGAAGAACCCATGTAGTGAAAACCGCGTAAAAAAAGGCAGTTTGCCGGTTCCGTTACCGGCTCCCATCCCTGCAATTTACTGCGAAAAACCGCTACTTTTCCTTGGTTTACCACGGTTAACCGCCAATCTTATCGGTAAACCTGTCAGCCAATCATTTTTTCCGTTCGACTGCAGCAAAACATCGATTATGATCATTTTAGATGTCTTTTTTATGTAGCTCCAAATGTAAAAAACAGTCACCAAAAAACCGGCGGTTTACCACGATTTTACCATTCCGGTTACCGGCTCCCATCGCAGCAAATAATCGAGGTTTTCTCCTAAAAATTTGCGATATGGGAATTTAATGATAAGGACAGAATTGTTAATGAAGGTAAAGAAGGAAAATTTTTTTATATTATTTTGGAACGTAAAGGAAAAGAAAAGAAAATTTGCTGTTTGTTTTTTTCATTAAAAAAATAATTTTATTCAGATACAGCTATTGTTTATAGAAGAATATCTGAAAATGGATTACCGATGAAAATCGGAAAATTACGTCCTTACGATCCTTTTGGTGGTTTATCGTTATTTTTAATAAACCATATGCTCGTACAATACCAGCTATTTGGCCATTAAAATATATAAGAATGGATTATAATAAATTTCAAGCTGTACTTTAACCAATGTTAATTGTTCTTCAACGAAGTGATCAACAATATCAATTGTTTATCAATTTTTCTGTTAAAAAACCAAGAACATTAAATATATATAAACATTTGGATTTATGATGAACTAAAAAAAGTAAATGTAACATTTTGTTCTTCTCTTTTTTCTTTTTTTCTATGACATGTCGTTTTTTGGGGTGTGGTGGTGCAGATGAGTGTGGGGTGTAGGTGATGGTATGAATAACGCCGTCACTCACACCTACACTCACAGCCTCGGCTCAAATAGTGTCGATTACGATCGTCATAATGATGTATTAATGAACGTATCGCTGTATGAAAACAAGAAAACCATATCCTCCAAAATATGATTAATTTTGAAAATTACTAATAAATTCTGAAAATTACCTGCACTTGAAAAGGTAGCACTGTTTTCTCAAGAATAAAGTACATTGACATGTACATAGAAAAAATATTTCATAATTTTTTGTATACTGAAGTTTCATAGTAATTTCCAAAACTCTTGAGTCATTATTAATATTTTAGAGGATTGAATTCTCCTTTTCATACGAAAGTAGATTGAAATAGATTCATAATAGCTTAGTCATTTTATGATTTATTCGGAAGTATTTTAATTGTATTGGAGGAATTTTCATAATTTCTGAGTAGTTTACTTTTGCTTTATGATAGACTTCGATAAATCCCTTGAAATTTTATAAGTTATATGTAAATTTCTGTATCTCTTTCTTTGATGAGTTCTCTTGGTGTATCGGAAATTTAGTGTTTTGGAAATTAGAACATATCACTTTTATAGAGGAATGTTTTCTCTTTGATTTTCTGTATTTTAAATAATGTTCACTTTGGCTCCGAGTGAATTTTGGCTCCAACCACTCTACGTGCTCTTCTCCAAAGAACACTAGATGATTTTTTTTCATATCAACAGCCACAGTGAAATGGCGAAAGTGCTAGAGAAGGTTGATGAACTTCATAGAAATCAGTTACATGGATAGCTGGAATCCCACACTACATCATGAGTCTGTCAAGGTTGTCGACGACTAACTAGTAGTTTGCTAGAAAGAAGTTTTATTTTATCACGTATGTCCAATGTACAATTCGTTTATTTTTGCAATCAACAAATATATGCATCCACGAATGTGGAAACGGAAGAAATTAGCTATAAAGTCATAGAGAGTACGAAACAAAATATACATGATTCATATAGAATCTTTTCCAGAGTTATGAAGTTCAATGGTGATATGGATGCCATCCATTTTCATCTACTATAATTCTCTTTCCTAGCATTTACAACGGATAAGGTTCTCTAGAGTGCAGATTTTTACCCATTATTATGTTGTGAAACACTACTTAAAAGAAATATAGTATCTACTGCTTTATTTTATTTTTGGAGAATTAAGTCAAAGGAGAATAAAGAAATGTGTTCTAAAATACGCAGAATAAAAGAATCTTTGTGTATAAAACTATTTTTGAATTTTATATTTTTATTTATAACAAAAAATAAATCATGTTTACTAGAAACATAAATAAAAATGCATGCATGATTAAAATAAATTTATTTAATTCCGTGGTAATTTATATTGTTGAATCATTCCCAAAGACTTCCGATTGAATTCCGCTCTATTTTCCATATATTCTCTGCCTATATCTATAGAGAAATTTAAGAAAAAGAAAATATATTGAAAAGATTTTTATTTTTCGTAATAGAAAAAACTAACCAGCATTGACCGAGTAATCAATATCTGGATTATCAATATGTTCAACAACAGCTTTAACAACATCAATTAAAGTTGTTCCATGTTTCCATCTTGTAGTTTTTGTTAGTAGTGGATGACAAAATTTACCTTAATTTGTTGTTAATATATATATATATTAGATTGAGTAAATGATATATTCACTTACCATCTTTATCAATATTTGGATGATAAATCGGAGTTAAAAATCTAACTTCAGGAGGTTCAAATGGATAATTTGATGTTAATTTTATTTCTATTTGAAATGCACTTTCTTTAAATATATCCGAGTTTGGTAATATGCGTCCAATGATAACATATTCAGTGCTTTTCATTGAAGTTTCATCATCATCATTTTCATCAAAAGGTGATTTATCAAGTAAAAATCTTACTGATGAGCCTTCTTTATTCGATAATTTAAGTTGAGTAATATTTGTCCAAAGAGCTTTATTTAATTTATTTGTATTCGTCATTGAAATAAGCTAAAATAAGAATATTTTAGATATAAGCACTTCTAGAAAAATTCTTCCAAACTATGTGTTATTGTTGATGATTGAAGAGAAAGCAAAAATACGTCTAAATATTTCCTCAATTTTGGCGTCATATATATATTCCTTATTTGTCATCATTTACATAAGATCGAATGAATAAAAAATACTCCATATTGGAAATATTCATGATGAATCATATTAAGCGTGATTGTTAATTGCTATTTTATACGAATGATAAGAATGTGTTAACATTGAAGTAATAACATGAATCATACAGAAAAGAAAACTACCATATAACGAAACAGAACCTTCTCCTTATCTCTAGTAGTTTTAAATCAAAGTCAATAATAAGTGCAAGTTTCATAGTTGTACTTAAGGAAAGCCTTCCTTATTCTCGAATTTCAGGAGAACGACTAATCAGAAAATTTGGAAATTGTCAGGGCAGCTAGATCTTGATAAGCAGAGCAAAACTTGCCATCTCAACTACATTTTCTCTAAGATACTGGCAATACAATGACTAAAAATGGTCTCCCTCCGCTCGATTCTTCGAAATACTATGTTCAGTTGATCATTGTTTTTAAATACACTTACCTAAAAGCATTAGAACAACAAGTAACGCGACGCAAACGTCGCTAACCCTCTACTGAAAGGATGTGATCTCGTTAAACATATGGTATCCAAGCAGAGAAATATTAGAACTAATGTGATAGTATGCATGTATGAAAAAGTAAATTGCGCTCGTCACCAATACTCTCTTGATAACCGTCTGAATTTAATCTAACCATCGTATCTCATCGTTTACTGAATTCTGTTTTGAGAACTATCTCTGAACACACGCACTTATACACAAGCACTGTTTATTATCTTATCAAAGACAACCATTTTGTAAAAAAGACCGAACCTTTCTATTAAGTCTATGTAAAATGAACTTTAATTGACAACTTACCCTATGTCACCGTCGTCCTAACACCGACCATCACTCCCGACCACTCGAATTCGCGTATGATTCGAGTAGTTTCTTCAACTGTAGGGAGGGTCATATGAAAAAAAATGGTTTGTATGTGTGTGTGTGTGTGTTTGTGTCAGGGTCAAAAGAACATCCGGGTCAACAAAACATCCGCTTGTGCATAAAACTCGAGCAAAGGGTAATCGAGGGTGGGGAATTCGAATCTGAGGTTANGTTCATGTCAAGTTCATCTATCTCGTGTTTCAAAAAACTTTTTTAATAAAATTTATGCAAATAAGAAATTTTCAGATTATAGAATGAAATCAGCCATAATTTCGGAGTCTCGCCAGTTTGATTGTGAACTAGATATGAATGTTGTTATTGTATAATTTTCTATATGTTTAATATATATACATTTGTTAGGTATTAGTGTCTTTCTTAAGCTTGCATTTCCAAAAATGAAGTCAATATGAGTTTTCAATGACCTTACCGTTTTCATTCGTTTATATACTATTCATGCATCTAATATATGAAAAGTAATTATATTTACTAAATTTTATTTATTTTCAAATAGACAAAAAATAATTAGTAAATTGAGTTTTGAGACACGCCACTTTCTGCTGAATCATATGATTGAGCACGTCTAACATTTTTTTTCTTCTTACATAGGCAGAAACATATAACGATTGAAATTGGTAATAGAAGCAATATAACAACACCAATACTTATGTAAATCCATGTTTTGTTCGATTGTACTAAAGATGAATGAAGCATCAATAAAAGCTGAAATACATAACTTATATATATATGTTCCATTACTTAAATTCCTATATTTAGTTCAATAACTAGGATATTATCTACTGCATAATTCTACTGGGTAACGTTGATACAAAAAAATAACAAGCCATTTCTGAAAGAAATCCAAAATACCGCTAAATCTCAAATAAAATCATACTTTTCTTATGATATTTTCTTTTATCTCAAGAATTTAAAAAACTTGCTCGTTTAACTAAAGTTTGATACCTGCATCGCAACCTGTACATATTTCTATATACACAGTAATATTGATTCTTATTTTATATTTTGAAACTTCGAAAAAAGACTCTCGCAGCGATATATTCGATGGCCTTACAATTCCATTGACAGACAGCTTTAGATTGGACTTTGGAAAGTATCAACTTGTACCAGATTCATTTTTTTTTTCTAATGTGAACTACCGCTTATTATGTATTTTTAAAAAAGAATGTACATCAAATGCTGAAAAGTTAAGAGAAAAGATTTAACCAATAACAAGCTCAGTTTTTATTAGATATCGTTTGTTTTATTGTCTCATTTTGATATTTATTTGTTAAATTTATAAATTAAATTGTACATGATTTTGATTCAAATTTATCCTGATAGTAAATCGACCTAAATAAAAATTTACGAGGAAAACTCTTCAAATATCAATTCGCTTTCCGATCAAGACCATATTCATGTGATCGGCATTAGAGAATGAAGAAAAAATCTAGGATGATTTAGTTCTCCGGGTGTTCGTTCTTGTGATTAAACTTTACACAAACAAACTTCTTAATGAGATTATTTTATTGTGTAACTAGTATTTTCTTTCCGGAGATATAAATATATGAAAAAAAATTTGCTTCCACACATGAGAGAATTTCGAATATCAAATATGTTCTATGAATTAATCTCATTAAGCATTTTGTTCATACGATCTCCGAAGTCAAAATTCAAAAGTGGATTTTTTATGTGACTTGAGGAGAATCTCACAATTTTAATGTTGAGAAATCCAGTAAACTTTCAATATCCCAATAACAAAAGACCTAGAGATGCGAGCCATTCAAGATCTATGACAAAACAGTACATATTTAATTAAAAACATCTTCAGGTATACAAGTCGAGGTTAGTTGCAAACAATCATATTCATTTAAGTTAGCTGGGGACTAATAATTATAATAGTGATACATTTCACTGTAAATGAATTCCATTTATACTATTCAAACCCACAACCACATTCTCCGATGACACATACATTTTGAAATCACGCAGGACTCTACCTATACCCAAAAAAAAAAGAGAAATTAAGAAAATGTATCTGTCAGATAGAATCTCACCTGTATCAATAATTATAGTTGTTGTTATCCGTGGTAATGGTGGATCTAAAATATAAAGAAAAATATCTATTAACCATATATAATTATTTTTCATTTTAATAAAACTCTAAGAAATGCTTCCTTACGAATTTCACAAAGAGAATACGTTTTCCAACTACAAAACCAATCATGCATACAAACTAATGAACTTTTAAAAAGAGCTAAACCAACACATGATTGACGTTCTTCACTTGTTTTTAATTTTATATAATTTGGTTCTTGTTCAAGAGGTGAGTCTTGTTTACTGTATCTTTTATTATACAAGAAAAAACTGATATTTTATATAATATTTCACTTACCACCAATATGAATTTCGTTTTGTTATAGATGGTCCATGAGAAACTAAATCATATTTTCCTTCACCAGACCAATCAGCTAGTTTTGCTCCTATCCATATACTAGCAAAATTTGTAGCATTACGTGGAGTTTTTTCAAACATTCTATAATGTCATGTAATTAAAAATTAAAATAATTTCTCAATTTTTTAAAACTCACTCATTCTCTTTAATATTTGATCGAATAAAAGAAATAATCGATTGAAACTATAAGAAAAAAATACTCGTAACTATCAAATATGAATTGTATACTCTATATATTATGCATATTACCTCTTCATTTCTACGAATAACAAAAAGATCACCACCATCTTTTTGACAACGTTCACGTGCAGGCTCCCATGCTAATTGATTACTTCCACCTAATATTAAATTATAACATCTAGATAAAATAGATTTATATTCATTTTTAGTAACATCAGAACATTTTTACTCACTTTCTACCTGTTTATCAATATAGAAAAAAATTAGTTTAAAAAAAAAATAAAATTTTTTACCTGAAGTCGTATAATGAAGTGGACATATCATACATTCTTCACCAGTCTTTTAATATGAAGAAATTCGTTTTTTCTTTTTTTTTGTTTTTAAGAATCAAAAAGATTATTAATATTTTACCCAAAAAGAAAGAGGATTTTTTTCATCAGTTGTTTTACCAATGTTTGAACATAAACAATGTCCATTAATACATTGAAGTGAATCAGGACATGATGGATTATCTGATTTACATGCCTCGTTAAATGCTCTAACTAATAACAAAATATTATATTTAATTAAACAATAGATCTTACTAAATTGATTTTCAATAAACATAAGAAGACTAAATATGAATAACTCAATGATATATGGCATAGAATATGAACGTAGATACAAAGAAGGAAAATTTTTTTATAGTAAAATAAGCGCCCATTAATTTTTCAATCAAATATTTAGTTGAATTTACTTGATAAACTATATTAGATTATCGTCTGACAATTCTCATCATCATTTAATTGATCATTTTCTAAATGTTCAACATAAGATTCGTGAATAATGCGTCAACAAAATACTGTTAACACAATTCTTGTGGGATTAAAATGTCAAATACGATGCAGCTACGGTTGCTAATTATAGAGAAGTTATTTTAGTCGATCTACTATGGGATACATTTCTTGATTATCGTTTCATTTAATCCTGCAGCAATGTAATAAGAAACTAGTTCGTATACTATAATGAGACGTTATTGATATAGTGTGTGTGAGGGAGGAGTCCAAATTTTTACTCCTTCATTTCAACACTCTTTTTAGATCATGTTTCACAAAAAGAATCGAACTAGAACAAGATACAAGAATATCGACTTGTTTTTGTGGTAAATTGACCTTATCATATAGTAAGGATATTTATGCATCGTTTTGTAGATATATCTTTGTCAGATATTTTTCTACTATCTATTTCAAAATATAATTTCTGATCATTGAAATATATCGAAATTTGATTGGTCAATAATTGATTTATCACTTACGTTCTTGGGGAAAAATTTTGACAAAGATATTCTGAAGCTATTTTCCTTTCGATTTAGACTTTTTAATAGAACTACTCTCTTCCGATCTACGCAAGGTTGCATTCCTGAGACTCTCGATTTCAGCCAATTGTTATGTGATCATCCGGAAAAGCAGCTAACCAGGAGATAATTTACTTTGCTGACTCGAATGATGATATTTGTTTTTAGATATGCATTGATATGACACTATTATGTCAATATTTTCTAAATATCGATCCTTTCATTAGGTGGAGATTGATTGTGAAATTTCAGAAATATTGAGATAACAAAATGAGATTATTTAACTCAACACAGTGCTGATCGGGTTCGAATCCGGAAAATTTTCGATCCGATGGACTCTAATTGATTGAAACTGGAGATCTCAGAAAAAAAGAAGTACTTTTTCTATCGATTAATCCTGTTAAAAGTCAAAATCGAAATGAAAATGGCATCGGAATATCATCTTCAAAAATCGCCACCAAGAGCTCACTACATCAATCAGTTGCCGATCGATCAAATGTTGATATACTTCGATGACCCTGGGTTTTCTCTATTAAATGGTGAAAACAGCAAGTCTCTATGATGTTTGTGATTTATCCATCTTAATATTTCTTGACATAGAATTTCCAAATCATTTACATTCTATCAACTGTAAATTTAGAAAATAATTCTGAGTATAAGTTCAGATGAAGTAAAACATTCTTATTGTAAGTATTTACTTTTGAATGATGAAAAAAAATATATAACTAAATACTTTATGGCATAACTTTCAGATTGTAAATCAAGAAAATGTCTCATACGAAGCCGCAATGTAATAAGAAAAATAATCAAAAATATAATTTTTAAAATGTACTGTTTTATTATTATTATACCACAATCCAATCGATAATCAAAAACTATTTTAATTTATGTATTCATCTCGATACAGTAGAATACGTTGAATTAATACTGCCATCACGATGTCTCGGATATGTCATAATCATCTTCGTTTTCTTATGAAAAGATAGATAAAAATAAGTCCTATACAGCACATACATATCATTAATAAAGTAATTATAATTTAAGCACGTCAGCTAGCACTAGCTTATACATGTTATCTGTTATGTGCTTTTAAAAATTTCATTTAAATACATTATAAATATGTCATTTTAAGTTTTGTTTTGTTTTTTTGAATTTGAATGAATGCATTTATGTCTAAACTTCCGTACAGAATATTAGAAAAATTGAAATAATTCTCATCCGGTTCAAGACAACGAATCTTGTTTTTTTGTTCTAAAAGTCTAAATGAGAAAAGCGAGATTTAGTGTGTCGTCAAGTGACTTTTTTTATTTATTGTAACATTATATGTACTAAAATGATCATAAAACTTGAATGGACGTGAATTTAAAAATAGACAGTAGACATCGTGGATAACACTTCGAACGTTGTCTGTCATTTATCAATAATTTTTGTAAGTATATGCAAGTTTATTTCTTTTATTTGAGTAGCAACTTAAATCAAATTGAAAATCTATAACTCTTATTTGTCATCTTTTCCAATATACTTAGAGTTATCCAAAAGTAATGGCCGAGGTACCTTTTTTTCCTATAGAAAGCTTGAAAAAAAATTTCCTTTTTATGAACAGATAGAACATCTTTCACTCTATTTTTCTATTCTATTCGATCACTATTCAACTAATATAATAATAATAAAATTTCGACAAGAACTGTTTTTGTTGAAAACTAGCTGATAGCATTTAGATCATAATGGGTGCGGCACTTTTCCATTCCACTTTATCATCACATAATACGTTGTTTAAAAAAAATATATATACCACAAGATGCAGCATGAAAAGCTCTACAATTTAGAAAGAACAATTATAAAAAGATTAGATAGAAAAAAACCGAGCTCGTCTATTATCAAAAAACAATTTCGTTTTTTCGCAACGTCGAAATTTGATAGCTCAGAGTTTTGTCCGTTTTGAAAACAAAAAGTGCAACTATAAAATAAGCGGTCCTTTATAAATTGTAGAGCTTTTCACGCTGCATTTTGTGGTATATTTTATTTGTTAATATAACGTATTATTTGATGACAAAATGAAATGCAAAAGTGCCACATCCATTATGATCTAAATGCTACCAGCAAGTATTCAACAAAAACAGTTCTTGTCGAAATTTTATTATTATTATATTAGTTGAATAGTGATCGAATAGCATAGAAAAATAGAGTAAAAGACGTTCTATCTGTTCATAAAAAGGAAAAAATTTTTCAAGCTTTTTATGAGGAAAAAAGGTACCTCCGCCATTACTTTTGGATAACCCTAAGTATGTACGCTGACAACATAGATTACCCTTATACCGGAAATAGGATATGTAATTGGATAAATAAATCCCAGTTGGGCTTAGGCGAACTTTATATTGGCCTACGACATATATATATATATTTATAGATAGATCAATAAACTTCTATGATTATCTCATTAGCATTTCCAGTCCAAACACCTCGTTTAATATAATCTAAATAAATTTGATCATCATTTTCTGTTTAGAACTTATTTAACATGCTTTATAACCATTATACCATGAAGTATCGCCTACTAGTGATGTTGAATATAGGATACAAATTGTTTCTTCTCGAAGACAATAATAATTAGATTGACATTGATTATAACATGATGAATTGTTCTTTTTACTATTAATTATATTTAAAAAAAAAAGACTTAATTGATTTAATTATCTAAATGTTATTATTAAAAAAATAGCACAATTCATAATGAAAATTAATTTTAACAAAAAATATAAGATATAAACTAGACATGTGAAATTGAAGATAAAAAATGTGCAGATTTGTTAAGACGAAAAAATTATCAAAATATGTTTTTCTAATTAGAAAATGAATTAAAATTTTCTTTAAATTAGTATGTTTTGTATGCATGGATAATTGAAATAAACATCTGTTTATCCATTCTAATGAAAATGAAAGAATATATATAGAAATATGAAGTGCAAATCTTCTCAAAAGATTTATTCTTCTAGTCTACCAATTCAAGAGTGAAATTATTTTGTCATATCATAAAATATAAATATTGTTCCGAGAAATAGTGAATCATAAAATCAAGATAAGGATATTTTTTGCTCTAATATTCATATAGAACTCGATAGAATTAGTAAAAGGCTATGGTTGTCCTTGAGAGATATTGTCATTAACTTTGCTAGTAGATCATTTTTCTTGTTTATCTTATATGACGCTTAGAGGATGTGGGCGTTCTTTTTCTCTTCATCCACATTCTCCTCTATTCGAGAAAGGCAACAAAAATGGACCCATTTTAAATTTTATTACTTCACATAGAAAATTGACCTTGTGCTGCCTTTGGCATCCTACGAAAGTGTTCTCAGTGTCATATTCGAAAAAAAAATTACATCATATAAGTATTTTATGAAAATAATTAGAAATTTTATTTATTGGATACTTAGAAAGATACTTGGTTGAAATATTTCCAGAAAAAGAACACTTGAAATAATTGTCTAGAAATTTAGCTGAATTTTACAGATCATATTCTGTAACATCCATTAAATAAATATTAGATATGTTGACGATCAAACCATACTGTTGACGTTTGTCTTATCTACTGTCTTACTAATATATTACTGTTTAGAATGTTATTTGATCCTGTTTTTCTTTGAAAGAAAATAATTGATTTTCTTTAAAGCATTACAAGAAAAACTTTGCTTTTACATAGGCAACCTGCTGCGTCAAAAGACTAGAAATATTATATATATCCCTAAAAGAAAATTTTCAGAGGGAAAACAACGAGCATAAGAAAAATTTAGAAGAAAAAAATCATCTTACTTATCCTACTGATCGTTTGGTCAATATTCATAAGAAATTTCGTCGAAAATATATCTCAAAAATTGATTAGACATATTGTATAACAATTCACTTTTCTTTTAATGTGTTTAAAAATCTAACTTATCGTTGTTGATATTTCAAAATAAGAATGACAGTATTCTTTGATATGTGATGATATAACTCGACAGAAAAGTGATAGAATAATCTATTGAGGACAGTTGTCATTGCTTATCTCTGTAGAGCAAGTGCGTTATATTGTTCGTCAGGGTCATATTATCAAGGTTATTAATGACTGATAAAACTGAAAACAAGTACATGGTCAACAAGTTCCTGTTAACACATGATAACAGTAGAAACAAACTCTTATCCATTAATTTGTAGAACATTTTTTGTCTCTACATTATAACCTCGAACAAGAGAAAACATTTTACAATAAATAGTTTCTGTCATTTTATTATTTTTTTTTTTTTTTTTTTTTTTGCAAGTAAAAAGTATTCCATTATATTACAATTGATGGATGGCTATTTTTTGTTATTTAGTTTGCTTTAGCTTTCTTATGATTAGATTTATTCTAAGTAAGAATATTATTAACAGTCGTCATTCTGTTACATGTCAAGCAATTGTCAGTGAATGTCATTGACAGTAACATTGGCAAACGAGAAAAAAACTAAATAGCTGATATTTTCGTTGGTGAGATCTAAAGATAAAATTCTTTCCATGACCTTTTTAAGCATTATTATGATCTTTCAATAAAAGACATTTTTTTTTTCAAGGTCTTTACTTAGGTAGGCTTATGTTCGAAATGTATGATTAAAATAAAAATCATGTGATCGATTAAAATACAAACATTTATGTCTTATTTTAAAATGTATTTGTTTTCTTATCTTGATTTTCTAGAAGAAGAAAAAAAAAAGGAACTTTTCAAGTAGCACAAAGAATACAATAGACAAAACAACAAAAATAATAGACAAAACTGAGAATAAGAGTAATCCCATTGAATAAAAACGCGCAACGAAAAAGAAACAACGAACGAAAAAGTAAAAGACAACTAATCCTTATACATTAAGAAAAAGAGAAAAAGAAACATCTATATGGCCATGTTTTTTTCTTTCTATGCAAATATATATATATATATATGTCTGATTTATTAGCAGAAATAATAGGAAAATGACAATAAAAGAAATCGAAGAAAAAAAAAGCGATTCAATCTAAAAAGATATATGAAAAAAAAATGTAAGGATCTTGTGTTCGATGGCAAAAGAAGAAGAAAAAAAACAGAGACAACGATTTTTCACATAATTAAAAAGAGAGTTTAATAGAATAATAATAACAGTCAAAGACAATTGTCTAGATATGAGTTACACACAAACACGCACACTTTTCTATGTCTAGAAAGAACAACAGACAAGAAAAAGGTAAAAAGGAATTTCATTTCTAATTTAATAAAAGGAACAAGAACCAAAAAAAGAAAAAGAAAAAAGAGAAAAATGATGAGAAAGAATGAGAGAAATAGGATGAGCCGGTGTTTGCTTGATCATCGTCGAGAATGAATTTTTAACTTGTTTTTTGTTTTTCTGTATTTATTGGAATTTCTGGTTGAACACTGCTTTTTCCTCTCCATTAATATCAATAAGTCGTGTTACCATATTTGTACCTGTACCCCAAGTTTGAACACCTTCAGCTACTAATGTTTCTCTTTCATTAATTGAACCTTTACTTGCATTACGACTTAAAATACGAATACGTGATCGTGATTTAAGTACAAAATTATCCGGAAATTTATAGACAATATCATCTTTTGAATCAATTTTACGTCGCAATGTCCAACCTTTCATATCTTGATCTTTGCCTGTTGAACCGGCATTCTCGATGACGATAAAGTTACCTTGTGGATCTACCTGATCAATAGCAATAGGACCTAAATAAAAAAATATGTTTTATTGTATAATTTATAATTGATTAGAATCATGCGTTTTTTTTTTCAAATATCAATATATCAAGAAGATGTAGAAGTTTGGGTTAATTGAAAAGATGTAAAGAGAATATTGCACGCAATAGATAAGTGCAACTGACGTGCGAATGATGAACGATGACGACAGTGGACGGTGTTACAAAAAGAAAAAGAAAAAAGAAAATTTTATATGTACGAATCAATTTTACACATGAATGAATCAACTATTTTCTTATAATTTATCATAATAATAAAGCAGTAATAATAATAATAATAATCAAATCTTTTTATTTATTTATTTATTCATTAAGTTTTTTTTTCTTTTTATTCAAAGCACGAGCTCCCGCTATGTGTAATTTGACGAGCAAATGATAATATAAAAAAATACAATACGATTACTAAAAGCTCACGCTTAATACTTAGTACGGAAAAAAAGGAGAATGTTTGTATATGTCAGTTTTTATTTTTAGTAGTCTAAAATAATAAAAAAAACATGCAGTCAAGATAAGCCTATTTCAAAGAAAAATAAGATAAGGAAATTTCTTCATAAGATTTTCTTTCTGTTTTCAAAATTTGATACTTGAAAACATAAAAAAAAACAATAATTAGAGATGATTTTAATTTGAAAAAATGAATTAGAAAAGAGATATCATTTTTATTTCTTAAATGAGAACAATATGTAGAGTTTGATATGCATGTGTTGTAATTATAACCGTCCATCTGCGACTAATCGTGTGTAATGAAATAGTTGCTTACTATCGTTATTTTAGAGAAAAGCGAGCTATTGGCCGATAGGGGCGCGATGAGCAGGAGCAAACAAAACGTCTCATCATGATTATCATCAACATCATCGAACAAGCGGGATGACATAGAAAAAGAGACAGACAAAAAGAAATGACATAGGATCAAACGAATAACAGTAGTCTCGCTCTCAAGTATCGCGTGCAATAAGAAAAAACAACAACATGCCGCTTCCTATTGTAATTATGATTTGTCTGATTACTTACAGCAGCAGCAACAAAAAGAAATATTATTAAGGATTTATAATAGGAAAAATGAATAAAGGGTTAAAAATATAAAGTAATTCTTTTAAAAATAATATTCTAAAAAAATTATTATGATGAAATCTAACAGTTAATAAGCAAAATATAATTTTCACTGACCTCGAGCCGATTTTTGAACGGTCATCTTTTTGGTTGATATATCCGATGCTTGAGTATCATAACGACCAGTGGTACTTCCACCAACTGATGATCCAGATTGATAATGATATGAAGATGAACTTCTTCCACCACTAGTTAAACCTTCACCTTCAACTCTTTGAAGATGTCCTTCTTCAACTTCAAGTAAACGTCTGTATGTATTGATTTCAAATTTAAGTGAAACATTATTTTCAAGTACAGCACTAATAGCTTGTTCACGTTGTTCGGCTTGAGCACGTAAATCAGCTAATTCTCGATCACGTTCATTTTGGGCTCGACTATGTTCAGAAGCAATTCGTTCAAAATCTTCTTCTAATTGTCGAAGATGATTTGATAAATCCGAATGTTCCTTTTGTAATTTATTGTAATTATCACGATTTTCAGTTAACATTGTTTTCAATGATGATAAATCCATAACTTCAACGGCACCTGAACGACGTGCTTCTTCAATTTTACGTTTTTGTTCAGCTGCTTGTTCACGAATTTCTTCAGTTTTGATTCTGTAATATTCTAAAAAATAAAAGAAAAATCATCAAATAAAATTTAATTTTAAGTTTTTTTTCCATTATAAAAAAAAGACCTTCTAATTCCCGTCGTTGTGCTTGTGAAAGTGCTTCAAAATCATTCTTAATATCTCCAATAGCACGTGTTAATTCTGTTCGATAAAATTGACTAACATCAATAGGTAATGTACCAAGTGAAGCCAATTCATTACGTTCTTCTTCATGAACAGCTTTCATAAAAGCTAATTGTTCTTCTAATGTTTGTAATTCATTTTGTATCATAACACGACCCATTGATTCATTATCAAATTCATTTTTCAAATTTTCTAATTGTTCCAAGAGACGTTTAACTTCATTTTTACTTCGTTCAATTTCTTGTTTTTTATCATCAAAACGACCACGTAATGCATCTAATTCTGAACCACTACCTTCAAGTTGTTGTTTAAGCATAGCAAAACGATTACGATCAAGATTAACTAATTCATTAGCAAAATCAGTTTGATGTTTTATTAATGATGCATCGTATTCGGCACGTTTAGCACGTAATTCAGCTAAAGCTTTATCACGTGTAACATCATCAATTTGTTTTCTTAATGATACCAATGCTTGATCATATTGATCTTTAACTTTACCAGATTCAAAACCTAAAAACGAAAGTATTTATTTATTATTGTTTTATGTTACTATTTTTAAATTTTACCCCATTTTTGTTTAAGGTCGTCAAGTTGAGCTTGTAATTTACGATTTTGTGTTTCAAGAAATTTGACCCGATCGAGATAGGCACCAAACTTTGTATTAAGTTCTTGCATTTCACGTTTTTCGTCTTCATGTTGAATAGCCAAATTACGTACTGCTTCTAGACCAGCACGACCACCACCTGGATATTCACTGCTTCGAACGCCACGTTCGATTATTGTTCGACGAATAACAGTTTGATCACCACGTTCAGCCATGATGTCTTAAATATTAATATTAATATGAAGAAGAAATAAGGCTAAAAATCAAAAAAAGAAAAAAAAAAAAACATATATATACGTATATATAAATATGTATGTATGCATTATAAATAAATATTACATCCAGCTCAATGAGTAAAGAAGAAAAAAACGAGAAAAAAAAGAGGTCAACTGAAGATTCTTTTTCTTATGTTGTGCGAACAGCTTTCACTGATACAGTTGAGTGAACTCATGACGACATACGATTTTTGTCTAGTGGTTTCTTCTCGATATGTATATGTGTATGTATTCGATGCGAGAGATCAACAAACGGGGCCTTCTCATGCTCTCCTCTGCCCGACTCGTTCGTATATAAGGGTTGTTTCAAAAAAAAAACGCGCGCGGGAGAGAGAGAGAGAAAGAAAAGCATGAATAATCAGTCGACGCTTCTTTTCTTCCTCCTCTTCTCCGGGTCGCTATTCATATAGCCAACCATTCAGTCAGCAATCTAATTGTATTCTTCTCGTCAACATTCCTTTCTTTTTCTCTTTCTCTCCCGTTGATATGACGATCGGCACAAAGAGCAAAAAGAATACACACATACATAAAGCACGATCGGGGATGATGGTGTAGAACGAAGATGAATAACGAGAGAGGAAGAAAAGAAAAGGTAGAAGGTATGCGGTGGGTAGCTGTAGTAGTGATGGTGGTTAGCAATTAGAATTTATTCATTCAATCGTCTATGCGCGAACGACAATGAGAACGAGCAAATAATAAATAACGCGCACGTATTTTAACTGCGCTTGCTTATACACACATATATATATATATGCATGTTGTGTTGTTGTCGCGATAGTGGTGGTGGTTATGCACATTAATAAACTACTGAATGTAGTAATAGTGTGGTTTTTACCATTTATATATTCTCATATGCAACTGGCTTTCTCCTCCTATTTCTTGTTCGTCAGCTATTAGAGCAGATGGCGACGACAAGAGAGGAAAAACCCATTCCGTTTATTCTATCAGAGAATAAAGAAAAAGAAATATGCAAGAGAAAAAGTTCTAGTAAAAAAAAAAAAAAAGAGGATGTGCAAGATGAGAACGAACGAACGCGGTTCTATTTTCTCTTTTTTTTTCTTCTTCTGGTAATGCGGTTTCTTCTTCAAACATAGTTTATATTATTTCTTACAATGCAATAAAAACCAACGGAATCGATGGTTGATGATAGAGGAAAAAAAGAAAAGGAAGACAAAGAAAAATAATAATAAAAAAAAAAAAAGACACTTTTGTACAATAAATAAAATATTTCGGGAAGTCTGTCTTGTTGTTACAGGAAACATAAGAAATGGGATAGACAGATATAATAGAAAGATAATTATTTTTTTTTTTTTTAAGCAAGAAAGTATCCTTCAGTACACATTGATGACATAAAGAATATCTCATTTAAAAGAATTCATCATCGCCTCCACACACTTAAACATATATTGACACATACGGTTGTCTGTCTATCTAGCAAGCAAGTCGATGGAGTGACCCTGTAGACATTGATTGTTGCGAGTTGTGTTTGTTTCTTTTATTCGTCTCTCTCTTGCTCTTATATTATGCTGCTAAGCAGCTCAACCAACGAAAGGGCCTCTTCTCTCACGCTCTCTTGCCACTTCAAAATCGAAGTATAGCCATAGGTGAATGCAGTGACTATGTGCCCAATCAGCAATATGTTTATCTTCGTGTTACACCACTTCGCTTATATTTATTCGAGATGGTTGTTGTTCTAGTTCAAGTAACACACACATACATACAGGTACAATAAATACGTATATTTTTCTACTTGGTCAATCGTATATACCTAAAGCAATTCTTTCCCCCGGTTGAATATAGATGCTTCTAGCGAAAAGGAATTCGACTTATGCGTGTTAAATTTTCGTCACTTACGGCGAAACAATGACAGACATAGAGAACGAGAAAAAAAAGAATTTGCGGTAAAAATCACCATTATAATTTCATCGTCAGCTCTCTATTCTTATTCTCTCCTCTTAGCTGTCTATACTCTCTCTTGCGCGCACCTCTTTTTATTATGGAGAATGAGTTGTGTGCTCTCATGATTTACGGCTTTTTTTTTGTGTGGTTGATCAACATTCGTGTATGTTGTTGTTGCGGTCTCATATTGAGTTTCATAGTGCGAACGCCCACTATTTCTTCTCTCTCTCACTATTCGATTGAATATATGAGTAAAAAAACGAAGAAAAGAAAAGAAAACAGCAAAGAGCACTAAAATGTCTTCACAAAAGTGTCAAGAATAGAATAATTGTGTAAAAATAACAAGATAAAGATGCAACAGAAAATTTGTTTTAATATCAAAAGATTATCGACTAAAAAGAAAAATAAAGAAATCAAAAGCATATTACTATAAATATAGCCCATCTCAATCAAGAATAGGGAAAATGATTGACTTATAAGTCATCTAGATAACCTATTGGCCATGAAAAGAGTATGTGTATACATTTATTTGTGTTTGATTGCTTTCATTGCTTCATTGAATCAAGACAAAAAAAACATCAATCTATATTTGTGCATGTTTGTCTGAATAGCTAATATCATTTTATAAAGGGCTGGCGACCATAAATAAGTTTATGTACTTTGCTGGTCTCATCGAGTTAGATACAAAGAAATAAAAGCAATGTTTAGATTTGCTTGGATTCCTAATGTTAAATTAACCGATTCAAATTCTTAATAGGAATTCATATATTCATGCTAAGAAAAAAAAAAAGAGACATAGACAAATTGAATATCATGGAAAGAAATACTATGTGCAATGATCGATTAATAGAAAAAAACAAACGAGCAGGTTCATGATGAAAGCTTTTCGTTTATTTTAGTAGCAATTTCTTTTTGTGTTAAGAAGTAAGAACAGTAATCAATCATCATTCAATGAATATTAACGTATGCATATATATTGTTTCACTTACATTTTCCCTTATGTATCTTTCTCGTTCTCTTTTATATCCATTGATTGTTCTCTTAGGAAAATGATATGAGTATTAATACATACCTTCTTAACACAAAGATGTCAGTTTATTTGACTGTATACGTTCGAACTTTGCTTCTTCTTCTCGTAAATGTATTGATGTTGATGTAAAAAAAATCGCGGTTAAATACAAAAATTGTACTGTGCTTATTATTTATGCTGTGGTTGTTGTTGTTTTTTTGATTTTTCTTAATGCTCACGCTCACAGGTACAAGCGAAGAAGAAGAAGAAGAAGAAGAAAAAAAAAAGAGCGGGAGTTCTTTTCAAAGAAAAAAAAATCAGCGACTACTAACGTAAGAAATAGTTATATGGCATACACTTCAGTGTCCTTTACTCTTTTTTTTTTTTTTTTTTTCGCTCGTTCGTTCGTTTGTTCGTTCTCTTTTCAGCTTACTAAATACATACTCAAACAACAAAAAAATGTAAAAAGAAATTGAGTGGGAGAGACAACAAAATCGAAGACAATATGTGCTATCTGAAATTCAAGAAGAGAGCAACCAAACACCCGGGATAGGGTGTAACAAACAAATTGTCAGTTGGTCTTATGCAATAAACAATTTTACTGTAAAAGAACATTAGTAGCAGCAGCTGAGAAAGCAAAAAGCAACAATTTCATGTACAACAGCCACATTTCTTTCTCTATATATATTTATATACATCAGTTGCTATTATTCGAGATTTTTCTTCTTCTTGTTTTGCAATTTATTCTTATATTACAAGATGAGAAAACAATGTCGTTATTAATATAAATGCAATATTTATTAACGAGAGAAAAATACAATACGAGTCTAAGTGTAAACAAGTATTGATTTGAAACTTGAGATAAATTAATTAAGTCTATTTTTTATGTAAAAACGAAATAATAATTTAATTTTAAATTATTTCAAAGAATATTCATGTACACTAAATAATGTCTGCAAATAAGTATGAATTTTATGCATACAGTAAATTTCAATGGTTTCTTCATGTTGTTTTTATTTCATTTGAAAAGGAAACTGTATGATCATCATGTAACATTCTTTAAAACTGCGTCTGTATCAATAATCATTCAATACTAACATGAATAAAAGAAGGTAGGCGTTATTCGTGATTTCTTTTCAAAAAAAAAAAAGAATAAAAAGAAATGTTGACGTAAAACTTTAAATAAAGTAATGCGTATTATAACACCCATCGTTTTTCTTTTGCATGCGAATACATATATATATATATAAGGGAAGATTATGACCTTGTTTATCGGTATATCTTTACATACTTCACATTACTTCTAGCTGTGCATTCGTTTACCCATTCAAACACTCTAATCTCCCTGCATATTCAAACCAAAAAAAAAAAAACGAAGAAAAAAACAAGCTGTTGCCAACTCGTAACACATTTTCATGTTCGCCTTTCAAAGTACCTTGAAAAAATTGGTATGATTCTTCTTTATACCTGCGATATATTGACACATGATCAAGTGTTTTATAAAAAAAATGTGAAAGAAAAACGAAGAAGAAAACGAAAAAAACACACACTCTATGATTGAAAGTAATTCTGACACACCGTAAAATAATAAACTTCTATTCATTTCAGAAAAAAAACAAAAAAATAAAAGAAATCCTAAATATATACATAAAACTATAATCGAAACCAAAAACTTTCATCTTCTTCTTCATCATCAATATTATCCAATGAATATAAATTTCGTTGAGATTTAGACCATTTACGAAGATCATGTGAATTACCACCTAAATCAGGATTAGTTTTCGAATAAAGATCTAATTCTTTTATAAAATTAAATGATTCTTTAAAAGTATTTTTTTTTATTTTGAATGCATGTTTTAATGCTTTCCAAATATCTTCATCTTTTTTATCCGGTTTTTCATTTAAATTAATACGAATTTTATCCATCACTTCTGACCAAGTACAATAAATAGTCTAAATATAATTATATTATTCTTTCATTTTCATAAAATTATCCAAACATACTTGAAGTATATTCGTATATGCACTTTGTATAGATCCAATTGACAAAAGCATATGACCAAGTATTAGTGCTTGTTTAATAACTTGTTTAAAATTTGGTAATTGTTGTGAAATTTTATTTAATTTTTTCATATCATCATCAGTCAATTCTTCATTATTAAACATAGATTTTGGTAATAAACCACGAAGAATTGTCACATAACAAGCACCAATAACACGTATAATTTCATCAAAACGATTTCCATCATCAATACCAACAAAATAATGAGAACTATTAAGTACGATAGTTAATGCTTCAAGACGACGAAATGCAAAAATATAATGAGAAAAATTCATTTGTTTTTTATGCTTAAGAAATATTCCTTTAGCTATATCGTTAAGACAATTTTCAATAATTTCTAATTCACCATAACAAACAAAATCATTATGAATATACATCTAAAGAAAATATAGAAGAATTTTAATTGAAAATAAATTATCAGAAAACATACATTATATACATCTGGATCAACATGTTGAAGAACTTTTAAATATTTACGGCTCCAAAAACGAGCTGTTTTCGAAATCATATTAGGTTTTGTATTTTCATATAGAATGTATTGTTTATTAGTTGGATGAATTGTACCATCATAATTTTGAATAACTGATTCAATTGGCCATGGTCCTTTATCTTCATCATTATCTTCTTCAACAGATAAAGGTTCACTTTGTTGGATATTTGTTGTATCAATAATTTTAAATTTTTTTGTTGGATTTGATTCGTTTATATCAATAAATGATGAAGATTGTTCAGGTTCATTTTCTTTATTTTCGATATCAAGACGACGTTTGGACATTTTTCTTTTTGTATTTAATTAAAAACAATAAATATACAGCAAGTTATATGTAAATAAAATACGGTTGAACTAACTAAATATTTAACAAACAAAGAACCGAATGATAATAGTAATCAATGGTTATATATGGATTTATACGGTAGATGGCATAGATGAATAGTAAATGTTTACACTTGGTGAATATTTATTCGATATATGCTTCAAAATTTTCCCTAGCATTTGATCAGATGATTTCATGAGATTAATTCATAAAGAGACAATTTTTATTCTTAACTAAATATAGTATCGAATATATCATATAATACTTTATTGAAGTAATTTAATATCTTTTTGAAATTCTAACATATATAGAGCTTATTAATACAAAAGATTTTTTTTTTTTTTGTCAATAGATTAGTGAGATTATGATTGTATACACTTTTTGATAAGAAATTTGTAATAAATCTAAAATAGAAAGTATTTCAAACTGAAGGACATTACTTGAAGTGCATTTTCAAATACTCATAAAGCTGACGCAGATCACAGATGTTTTTTATACTACGAGTAAATAATACGTGAGTTCACTGATAAGAGTACTCGTCACCTTTTCTTTTTTCATTTTTCGTTCTCGAGAAAAGGTGAAATCGATCCATCTGAAACTTTTATCACGGACAAAGTAAAGTACTTTAAAATAAGGAGACATGTGTTCGAAGGAAAAAAAAATTTAAAGAAGTTTTTTTTTCTCCGAGAAATTCACATGTTCCATAATAAATGATGATAAATTATCAATGATATTGTTTATACTTTTTCTTGATGTAGAAAGCTGAAATTTTTATTACATACTTATCAATCTAAGGAAGACATATGTCCATGTGTCAAATCATTTTTCAATCGAGACGATATTCATTTGATGAGTACTAATGAGTAATAAAAAAATCAAGATGAATTTGATTTTGACTTTAAATTTTGCAAGAATAAAATTCTCAATGAGATTAGTTCATTGAACAGATTGTAACTTTTCTAGTATCTTATATTCGAAGATATTCAATATCTGAAATTAGTTCAAGTGTAAATTCAAATTTTGTTCATATATTTACATCTCCAAAAATGAAATATTAGTTGTACAATCAACTAATTTTTTTAAGAACTTTTTTCATGTGACTTGAAGTGAAAAATAGCTTTGTATTGAAAAATTCAATAAAATTTCGATATCTCAAGAACGAAAGTTAAGAAAACCAAAGCGTTTTAGACTATTCTATTATTCATCAAATAAGCACGGTCTCGATTGGAAAGTGTTTTGATACCTGAAAAAATTCTCTCGTAAATGATTTAATTTTTGTAAAGTTTCAGCTCTATAAATTGAGGTGATTCCGATTCTTTTGATGATCGACTCATCAGAAATATTTGAAATTTTAAGGACAGATAGATCTGGATAAATACAGCAAAAGTTGTCATAGACTCCAAATTCCTAAAGACTTTCTTCTAGGCAACATCTGAAAAATGTATGATTTTTCGTATTTGATATTTGTAATATGTTTATTTTCTCAATAGAAATTCGTTCATTATTTTTTTCCCAGTACACGTCACATATTTTCAATTCTCTTCATAGATCAATCAATAGAACATCGTATTTTAGATTCAATATAAAATATAAAAGATTTTTTCTGTACTCGTAACAGATGAACATCTAAAAAATAAAATTTGTCATTCAATCTGTAAGATACTATATATTGATGTATTCCTGTATATAGGTAAAAAACAATCTACTTGAGAACCTCTTCAGCTGCTTGAAGCAGGTCAAAAGGTTTAGTTTAAACTAGAGAGCTCAAACTTTAGAAAATTGAAGATCTTGATTCCAAATATATATGATAAAAACTTCACCTTTCTACGACAAGAATAGTAAGAAAAATTTCAATCGATAATTTGTTCTCAGTTATTATGGATACTTATTATGAAAAACCTCAGCTATTTCAGACTAATGCTGAGTGGTAGCTGATACTTTCGAGTATTTCAATCCTAGTAGCATGATATATTGAATAAATTTGAATATTGTTTTTAATTAAAATAAATGCGAAAACCTCGGATTTAAATCCGAGTGTTATGTGTACTTCAAAAAGTGAAAAGGTATATTCACTGTGTTTTTTATCACTAAATTGCAAGGAGAAAATACAGGCGTGCTAAGTTAGCATGGACCATACTGTATGCGACCCTATTCGGTGACCACTGACTCTACTCTCAGAGTGATATAATATCTTTAGAAATCACAGGAATTGAGTTCAGATTCGTGTTTAACTTGGAAAACTGGGTAAGAAGAGTTATTTTTGAATGAATTTGCGTTTGTATCTACCAGGATTACGATCGTAAACAACCTCATCAATCTATAAGAGATATATAATAGATACACGCATCAGTATTTTCCTAATAGATCACAAATATTAATAGCTATCGAGTTAGGGTTTTTACCTTTCGATAGTCCTTTTGACTAGCTAGAAAATCAGGCATTTGGGAAACCTCAAAACTACTGGTCATCTGAGACACATCTAGGCAATTTGGTTTCTGGATGCAGTTTTTGTGCATTTTGAGACCTTTTTCAGGCGATGTTCTGTTAGAAGGCTACAATTTGGTTCAAAACTAATATCAGATTCGGAATCAGCGTTAAAAACTGAGTCGATTTATATATGTTGTGAAGAATTTTGAGAAAAATATTTTTTTTGAAAAAATCCCTGTACTCCCCCTCAGGGATGATCTTCTCAATAATGACAATTTTTTCGATAACTCAGCCATTTCTTGACGGATCCTGCTCATCTTCGAACTCGACCGAGACATTGTTAAGACTGAACTGTGTAGAAAATTTCATCGCGATTGGACTCTCCTTTCAAAAGTTATCGTGTTAACGGCCGGACGGCCGGACGGACGGCCGGCCGGACGGACGGACACACTGACCGATTCTAGAGTGTACTCACTTTTTGAGTACACAATGATCAGCGCAGTGAGCTCTACAAAGTTGTACAGACGAGAAAAAAAATCTTTTGAGAGCCTTGTTCTTTTATGCGATTGACTATCCATGAACATATTCATCAAAAACTATGATAGACACTTAAAAATATTATCTAGAAGTAAACTTGACCATTTTCGTTTTTTGATTGTTCTATCTGAGCTTAATAAAAAAAAAAAAGCAAGATTTTTGAAAAAAATAACTTCTGAGCTATAGTCTAATGTATCTCCACAAAAAGCTTTCACTCAATAAGGTAAAGTTTGATAGGAATCGTAATATAAATAGGGGTGATCCTATGAAAAAACCTTCGAACACAAGTCTTCTTATTTTTGATGCTGTATCTATGCTGAAAATTTGAGATCAAATTCTAAGATACCGTTAACATATTATTGCATGTCTGGTCTCACTTCGATCTTTGAACAATAAGATTTGATATGTTTTTTGTATCATTTTGAATATGCAATTGATGATTCTTTTTTACTCTCTCTTTTTTTTTTTACGAAAGAAAAATTGTAGTGCAAAAATACAAATAATAAAATCTATATGCTATATCTATCTTCGTCAATGTGATCAGATGAGTAATAAGAAAAACAAAAATAGAAAAATCATTTTCTTTTTCTACACAGTAGCTAAGGCAAGTTTGAGTTGTCGATTGATATATCTTGCTAGACTTTGTGAAGTATATAGAATTTTTTCTGCTCGATCATAAACTTCATTTAATTCAATTGTTTTATGATAATTTGTATTCTAAAATAAATAATTAAAAAATTTTTATAAATTACATATATTATTTATATCTTACTATGTCGTCTGAATCACAATCAGAAGATGATACAGAATCCATACATCGACAACAATTATTTCTTTTTCTTAAATAATCATATGATAATGACTATATATTTATATAATATTATTCTTACTTATATTCACTTTCGTAACCAGGATCATCTTGATAAGATGTAACTTGTCCTAATGTTGAATTGATATGATGACTAAAACAAAAAGAAAACATTGAGATCAAAAGTGTGATTGAATATTTAGAGATATTTTGCTTAAAATTTTTCATAAACAATCATAATTCAAAATCTTTTTAAATTAAATAGAATACGAACCGATGATGATATGTTGTAATACTTCCACATTGAGCACATTCATATAAATTCGATTGAGAAGGTAATCCATAATATATTTTAGTTGGATATTGATTTTTATTTGATTCATATCGACTAAATATATATATATTTAATTTTTAATAATAAAAAAAATTTATTTTCTTCTTACTAGATAATTCCTGTTTGTGAATCTAAATAAAGATTATTCGATTTAAATTGATCATTTATTTCTTGTAAACGTTTATGTGTATGTGGTTGATTTATGTAAAGTGAACTTCTATATCTTGTTTGATGTTGTGTTATTGGTATTGTTTGTTGAGTTTTTATTTTTGGTTCAATAAATGAATGAAAATATTTCATATTATTATTTTCAATTCGACGACTTCCAACAGATGCACTTCGATTTAATGGTTTTACATGTGAACTATAATATATTGGTGTTCTTTGTGGTTTCCAAGTATTATAACTACAATGCATTCGTTTATTAAATGAAGATGTTTGTGGAATTGGATCAAATGAACCGGTTACACGCGTTTCAATATCAGATGAATGAGGATCTATTTTATGAAAACAAAAAGAATCAAGGATAAGAAAATTTTCATATTTAAGTACCATAATGACCTTGGAGTTTTCTTCTATTTAATGACGAACTATCGAATCTGTTTGTATATTTACTTTCAAAAAAAAAAAAAAAAAAAAAAAATGAAAATGAATATGATTGTAAATAGAAAAAGAAAAAATTCTTTTCTTTTATTTATTATTAACATTTATATGTCTGAAACAGAATATTTACCTATAGGGGCTTCCAGAACTTGTAAAGTTTGAACTACTTGAATGTGATGATGATGACATTGATTCTGAAAGCAGAGAAAAAAAAAATTGAAAAGTATTATTTTGTTTTTTTCTCTTTCTTTCTATTTGATAAACCTTGTTCGTCATTGAACGATTGAAAATGACTTTCATCCATTGTATTAGTATATAATTTACTAAAAATAAATATTATATAATTATTTTATATTTATTAGAATTACCTATCATGACTTAATTTAGTTATATTTGTTGTTCCAATACCACTATCATAATCATTAACATGTGTTTTTATTGAATTATTTGTATATAGAATTCCATCCGATGGTATTAATAGACTTGATTGATTATTATATTGACGATCGTTTGTTATTTTCTAGTAAAAATTATGTTATAAATTTTAGTTGTATTTTTTTTATTGAATATGTTTTACTTTTTGTTCAATTTTTATTTTTCGTTTTAATTTTGTTGGTTTTTCAAGATTTTCATACTCATTTCGATTAGTTACATTTCTTTTCTTTGTTGTTGTCATGATACCACGTCTATAAGGTTGTTCTTCGATTCTATGTTGATGATATTTAACAGATGAAGAAGGTATATAATCAGGTTCGAATGAAGTTGATTCGATGTTTTTTATGACTGGCATAGGTGTTATATTATTACTTTGTTGTTGTTCATCATCAGAATCCTTTAACATTGGAAAGATAATTATAGTTGTTTATATGAATCATTTGCAAATGTGAATTATTTTTTGGATAATTCTACTATCAAGTGACGATGAGGATATAATTGTAGGTCGCTAATCAACTTCTATATCAATAAAAGATAATGCGGATGAGAGAAACATGATCTCTTTATGAAATTCCAAACATATATCTTTCTCTTACAAGAGAAAATTTTTCAATTGATCAATTGTTATTTTGTGAAAGTTTCGTGCGTTTTTATTTGCTTCTATCTTGAAAATCAGAATATCAAATCTATCGTTATGTATGAACGCTATAAAAGGCACGCTTTTATCAAGGCTTTACATGAAGATAGGATCAACGACAAGATCTGAAATATTTACAAGAAACTGTTCTCATTAATGATTTTCTCTCTGCGAAGTTTCAAGTCGGAATTTGAAAGTCAGTTTTTCTGGTGTTCCTGAAGGGAACCATGAAATTCATTTTAAAAGTTATCGTACAAGTGCAATATCTTGGTAGTCATAAGCTAAGGGCATTGCACTGCTTTCAATGCATACACAGTAGATTTGGTTCTACATAATACGTAATAGTCTCAATTCGAAAGCAATTTATCAGCTGGTAGACTTCCATTTTTAGCAGATCGATCTAGTGTTGTTAGTTCTCGCGAGGAAATTATCCATAATGCTTAACTACTTCTGAGCTTATAAGCTTTCTCTATATAGTTACAGAAATTCTGCTATATATTTGCCATAGGAAGGAGTACCGGTAAGAAATTTTTTCTAGAAGTATCCTCAATGCTTCAGTGAAAAGTAAGGAAAACATTAATTTTCATTGAAACACGGAGAACAAAAGTTCTTTCTGTATTCTCAAAAATGATGAATTATATAATCGATTTTTCAATGAGTCCTTAGTCAGATAATATAATAAAAAGTACAATATGTGCTATTTTCTGAACATTTCATTCATTTAACTAGTAGCTGAAGTTTATAGTTACACAATAATATTTCTTATCCTCAGCTTTATTCACTAACAGTGAAATCAATCATAGTTTCTAACTATTGAGAGTAATCACTCTAAAAAGCTCGTATTATATCGATAACGGTTAGATTTAAATTTTGCTTTGTCTCAAAAAATGTTTTTTTTTTTTATATTAAGATTATTTTTAACATACTCCGGATACATAAACATATGGTTTTTGTTGATTTTTTGTTGATGTTGGATAACGATCGAATAAACTTGATCGTGATGAATCATGAGAACTAATACATATAAATAAATAATAACAGTCAAAAAAGAAAAGAAAGAATAGATTTATCTACGTTGATTTTATTTGTTTCGAATCAGTTTCTAATCCATCAAGTACGAGTTTCATTTGATCACTTTTATCTGTACTTTCTGTATTAACAGCATTTAATAATTTTTGATATTGATCCATAAGATCATTGTGATTACATAAGGAAGATCGAACAGATAATTGACTCTATGATTTCATTGAATAGAAAAAAAAGAAACAAACTATTTATTTAATAATGTTCATACGTACTGAATGACTACCATCACGTGTTAAATGAATATTTCGTTCAGCTGGTGAATTATCAATTGATTTACCAAGTAAATTTTCTGTAATTCTTTGAACAATTTCTTTTAATAATTGTTTCATTATTTCTAATTCTTCATTTAAATCTCTAAAAAGAAAATTCGTGTTTTTTTTTTTAAATAAATATTCTAAGGAAATAAAAATAATATAATCAATTGAATTACGTATCAAGATCAATATCATGAAGATCACCATCATGTTTTTTTTTATCTAATGTTTTAACTAATTTTTCATAATCTTGTTTAATATTATCATAGACTTGTTTTTGTTCAGCTAAACTTAATTGATCTTTATGCATTAATGTAAGAAATGATTTCATCTATTAAATAAGACGAAAAACAAAACAAAAAATAAATAAATATAATCTCTTAATTACAATTTCATTTACCTTATTTCCTAATGTTTTTGTTTGAACAAGTAAATTTAGTTTGCTTGTTACGGGTGTCTTTAATTCTTCTAGAAAAATTTTTTATGGTACAGTTTCATCAAAAGTACACTGATTTAATCGTACCTGAATATGGAGGTGATATACCTAGAAATAACAAAAGAAAAGGTATTGCGTAAAATTAAAAAGAAAAAAAAAGAAAAACTTCGTATTGAACAAATAGCATATGTATACTTCATCTTAAACAGGTGTAGATATATGTATGTGTAAAGTACTTAGTCGCATTAAGCATATTCTTACACAATCAATTTGATCAAGATATTTCTATACTTGTAGGTGTATATCAGTTAGAAGTATATATCAATCATCCAGCAAATGTTCGATAAATGGCTTCAATCAAGGATCTCTTTCTTTTTTTTTTAATATGTGAATCAATTACAATTTCTTTTTTTTTTCTTCTTTTTTTCGATCGTGTTTACTATTTGTCTATTATGATTAAACATAAATATATGTATAGACAAAAAAAAGAGAACCTTTTTTTTTTTTTTCATTACAAAATATGTTGGACATCCGAGAGCCTATAAAAAAGAGTTCTAGAAAGTATTTTTCAAATCATTTTGAATTAAAAAATTCATCATCGCAATTACAATGTAAGAAAAAGCGAAGCTTTCGATCATCAATATTATATCAATAATTTCCTAAAACTACATGTTCAAGACATCGAAAAACATTTTGATAACGTACAACAAGATGTTTTTTACTATCAATTTAATCGATGAACTTCAGGCCTTCTGCTTAAAAATTAATCTTGCTTCAAGAACAACCAAATTGCATGAAATTTTCAGAATACATTGGGGCTGTAGCGGACAAGCTATGATGATATTTTCAGTCCCATACCATGATATTTCGAGTTCCTTTGGCAACACAAAATTTTCGGTGATTTAAAGGGAGAACAGGAATGAAGAGTTCAATGTTTCGAAAAACTCTCAAAAAAAGTCATTGACTACAATGAAGCTTGTTCGAGAATTCAGAGATTCGCAATCAAAAGAACATAAACGGAGAAAAAGCGAAAAAAAAGATGTTCCATTATGTTATTTACGAACACTCTTTCCTATGGAATTTTATTCGCCAAAATGAATACTTTTCGTATACCCGAAATCATATTGAAAAATACATTTCTTTCTAATAATTATAATTAATTCTATTGATTATTAGTTTTAGAATACATCATATAGTAAAATATAATTTATTGATTAGACTACGACACAGTTGTAAGAAGTTTAATCACTCTTATTAAAATAGTCAAATAGTATTTTTATTTAAACACTGACAGTTTAACTATGTTACATCAGCTCAGTTTCTTAACTGATCTGATTGATACTTCGTTAGAAGCTAGACTTAGATAGTCAATTTTTCTGTAAAAACTGAGCAAAAATATTCAATATTTGTTGTTTAGTCATCAGCTGTTGGATAAATGATTTTTACTTGGTTTACATGAATCTCGGCCCAAGAATTTTTCGTCCCAAACTTTTCGGCCCGGTCCGAAATTCCGGTGATTTTTCGGTCCGAACCGAAAATCCGAAAGAAATTTCGGTCCAGTTCTTAATTAAATTAAATTAATTAATTATTCATTAGTAAACTTCATAGTGCTGAGCAGTATGAATATTCAATAAATCATCTTGCTAAGTGGCATGGCATAGTGTTGAGCAATATGACATGGTGCTGAGCAGTATGAATATTAAATAAATTATCTTACTAACCAGTACGAATATTCAGTAAATCGTCTTGCTAAGCAGAATGATTTTTTGAAAAGTCATGGTGCTCAGCACTATGAAGTTTACTAATGAATAATTAATTAATTTAATTTAATTAAGAACTGGACCGAAATTTCTTTCGGATTTTCGGTCCGGACCGAAAAATCACCGGAATTCTGGACCGGGCCGAAAGTTTGAGACGAAAAATTCTTGGGCCAAAATTCCGGACTCCATTTTACTTCATGAGAACAAAAAATCATATGTTCATATCTGACAGGTATGTCATTTCCATTAATCAATTCAACATCACCAAACATACAGCCTTGAAAATTCTCAACCGATAACAACTGTTGACTACAAGATATTAAATGAATAGATCGATACCATTGACTAATTGAACCTATGAGCATAGAATAGCTAAGAACTTGAATGATTGAATTTCGAACTGAAATTTTACCAATAGATAGACCTTATAGTTAACAGAAACTCTTTTTTAAAGTTTGAGTTAGGACGATCCTTATCATGAAATCGCCCTTCTTTTGAAACAAATATCTCAGCAAGAATACGCTCTTTCTGGTTCAAACTTGGAAGAGTTTTTATTGACTCTAAGGTTTATCTATGGACATCATTTTGGCTCGAAATTCAATCATTCATGTTCTCAGGAATCCAATATTCATAGGATAAAAACTCGAGCAAAATGCACATAATAAGTCAACAAACGATGGTTATAGGTGCCCCCCCCCCCCCTCCGCAAAAGTCTATACTTCATTTTTTCAAGCTACAATTTCTTTATGACAATTAGGATCAAATCAGGGTGCATGTTTTTCTCAATAGTACCAATTTTTTTAAATGCTGTCGAAATTCGTAAAGACAACATTTTGAAAGAAAAAGAAACACGCACCTCAATTTGATCAGGATACTCACAAAAAAATTGATTTTCATTTTGATTTAAATTTTTTTTTAGTCTATAATTGTATTTATTTTAGGTTAGATCTTATTGAGGTTATTCAAAAAGGTATTCAGATTTTTGATGACAACACAGGAAATTTCATATTTCATGTTCGAAAATAAAAATTTTATCACGACAAATATTCAAAATAGTTGTGTAGTATTTATCAAAAATTTCAAAATCAAAATACAATATTCCATTTACGAAAAAACGCGGTAGACTGAATAAACAATTCTACTGAATTGAAAGCATTAGATTAACTAAACAACAATCTATTGTTTTTTCTTCAAACAAAACTAAATCAATCGAATATTTTTACAATGAAATTTTTACTTTTTCTAACTGATGTTGTTGTTGTTGTTGTTGTCGATGTTACTGGTCTTATTGATGAAAATGGTGAACCAGTTGTTGAACGATATACTCCACTCGATCGTAAAGTAGCCATATTAACTGCGGGTTGTTGAATAATATGTACACGATGCTTGAAAATGAATGAATGGCATAGTTTGTTGTTTTTTTTTTGTTCAAATCAGAAAAATAATCTCACTTCAGAAGTAGTTGACCTAGGTGTATTTTCATTGAAAATTTTCGGTTGAAAACGTAATTGATCAATAGTATTTTCTGCATGTGCATATTTTTCTAATAATTCTTCATAATTTTCATGTAATTTATTTAATAATTCTCCCTTTTTTTTTCCATATCGTTTTTCTTCTTTTAATTTTAATTTAAGATCATCTTGACTTAAATGATCTGTTTCAGGATCTTCATCATCATCACTACTTGCTATTCGTTTACGATCATCTTTAAATGATGAACTATTACTATTAGATAATGAATGTATTTTTGATTGAATTTGTCTTCGATTATCATTTGCAGTTACGAAATGAAAAGCACTGTTGTTACTTATCGATGATATTTGTCTAAAAGAAAATTTTCTATAAGTATTGAATAATAAACAAATTTAACCGTTTATCTGCTGTTCGACTTGGACTACGTGATCTTGATTGTGATGATGAAGTAGATGAAACGGGAATTTTTGAAATAGAATTTCGAGTTTCTATATTTGTTAGTTTATTTATAGGAAAAGTTGATGTACGTTTTGGTGATGGAATTATATTAGTTTTAGTTCGATTTTGTAATGATGATGATTGCATATTATTTGTTTTTGAAATTGAATGAAGTTTTTCCATACTTTTATTAAGACCATTGGGTGAGAATATATTAATTTTTGGTGATTGTTGTTTCTTATCTATTGTATTCACTGATTTACTTTGATTCGAAGAAAACTATTGAACAAGAAAATAAAAGAAGTCATTATACAATTCTAAAAAAAGGACTGATTTATGGTCCAAAAAGGTCACCGATATTCTTTTGGGGGGGGGGGGGGGGGAGACGGGGGGAAAATCCAATAATTAAATTAAGTTGT